TATTAAAAAATAATTTATATAAAATAAAATACCCAAACTACCCTTATAAGTTTCAAGCGCAAGTCCAACATTTTTTTTTATAAAATATTATTTTTATATTTTTATAGCTGTGAGTTATTTAGACGTATAGATGGCTGAAATTTCAGATCCATCCAATACATATAAAAAAATAATAATGAAAATTGAAGTACTCTGAATTGTCCTATACAATTGCTATTGATAGTATTTTAGGTGATTTTAGGGGTGTTTCGGTCATTCTTTCCTTAAAATATTTTATATATTCTACAAGGTCATGAGGGGGAGAATCATATACTCCCAAAATTTAATCTCAATCCAAAATAAAATAAATTCAAAGTGCTTAGACATGCTCATAACCATCAGTGAGGATATTTCACTCATTATATCTTTTTCAAGTTATTTTTTCTATATTTTTTTATAGGTGCTCGATGTGAAAGGTATAGAAGCAGAAGAAGTCAGCTCAATTTGATGTGTATACAAAATAAAATAAAACTAAAATAGTTAAGACTTACTCTCACATAATCCATTTTTAAAATAGTTAAAATTTTCTTATTCTAATTATAGGTTCCAGTTGCGAAACGTCCCCTCCATTAAATTAGGAATGAGTTATCAGTTGAAGGTGGTGTAGGAAAAATGGCTTGCTCATTCATAACAATCAGGTTACTCGCCCAAACAGGGGTTCAATCACTTTAACCTTATTTACTGAATTTCTTTTGAGAAACTTATCAAATAGCCTAATAGTTGAACTACCTAACATCTCTATCATGGGTGTGTGAAGTAATAAGTTTCCGGGAAAGGTTTCTATGCTTCCTTTATAACATAGAAGTTCTATCCTCCCCTACTATCCAGCCGTCCAATTTTGATCGAGAGAGCCACTCACCGTTTAATCTTAAATCTGGTGTCTTAAAGTATTTTATTTTTAGTTTTTTTATACAAATTGTATGAGTATGAAATTTGGTTCGTGCCATCTTCTCATTGGGGCGCACCTATAAAAATATTAAAAATAATTTTTCGATGAAATATAAGGACCAAAATAACTCTTGAAACTTTTAGGGGTATTTTGGTCATTTTATTTTATTGAAAATATTTTTTTTATATTTTTTGCTAATGCAAGTTTAATAGAAGAATGGACGTCCAAAATTTGGTGCCAAAATAGTATATAAAAAAAACATTAAAAATAAAATAGTGTAGAGACTGACATTGTGATTAGGGCAATCTTAGCCCTCCATTTAGAATGGACGGTTGGATAAGAAGGAAGATAGAACTTTTGTGCTGTAGGGGAAGCATAGAAAGCTTGCCTTAAGTTTCCCGACCCATAATGTGTATCATTTGATGCGTTGTTTGAAAATTGGCCAAAAGGAATGTTGGCTATTCCAGTGTTCGAAAAATTGAATCGCAAACCGGCCAAGTGCCAAGGGCTGGTTTGAGTAATGGGTAAACCGGCCGATTAGACCAGCCAAACCAGGCAAGTCCTGAGTGATAGAAAAAGCATTAAAAATATAAAAATAATCTAAAAATATGTATTTAAAGCCCGATTATGTTGGATTTGGTGCTATCCAAAATCACCCACATTAAAAAATCCCATATTATATGGGATTGAGATTGATTCATATCATGTGGGATTGATAAGTTTCCTAAATAAAATAAAAATCCAAAAAGATTAGTACTCTTAGATATATCTTTATCGTTTTTGAGATGGGCAATGATTTCATACAACAACCTTAAAAAACCATCTTATGGACATTTATTTGATCCAAATTTTGAAATATACACTATTTTCATTCTAATGAATAATCACAATAAAAGAAAAAATTGAAAACACAACCTAGAAAGTATTTATTTAGCCCAATTAATGTAGGCCGTTCATTTTGGTGAGATACTTAGATCTAAACCTTAGAAGGATTTTTTTTTATTTCCAATTTTTTTGGATGGCTTTATTATCATTAGATGAACAATTTTAAAAAAGAAAAAAATTATTTTGAGTATATAAAGGATAAGATCATGAAATTCACAAAATGGATGGTCTAGATTCGTTTTTGGAGGGGACTCTTTTTACCATATCTATGGTCCAAATTGAACTTTTTTTTGGGGGGGATTGATTATTGAAATGAAGAGAGT